TTCATTTCACATCACTCCTACAGAAATCCACACATTTACAAAAGAACTCTAAAATAATAATAATTTCACACTTTTTGGCCTGCTGGCACTTGAAGGTTCCAACAGCAGAAACAGTTCTTGTATCTGAACCTGGGCTTCTGGCCTGGTGGGACTGCAAAATACCTTTTGTAAAACAATTTTAAAACTGCAGAGATCTGTTGGAATATTTACTGTACAGTAATTTCCCCTGCCGGGAAAAAATGTTATTTTTCTCTCAAAGACAGCACTCCTATATGTTACCAGTTCTTACTTTTATTTTTTTAAAAAACTCCCATAAAGGGTTCATTTCTAAAGTAATATATTAATGGTAATATAATTGAATTAGTTGTAATCAGGTGTCCATAGCCTCTTTAGAGCAGGGCAAGTGAGTTCACACGAGAAGAGCACAAGACAGCTCAGCCCTGTGGACTCAAAAACAAAAACCACAGGCTAAAGATTAATGGACACAGAGGACTTAAGCACCCTTGCCAACCCCATTTTTAGTTTGAAAGTGTCATCTGGTTGATAGAAAAGTTCATTTTATTTGGTGTTTAGATGAAATCAAATGAGCTTTTGTTTGCTAATGAATTCATTGTGTCTTAACTGACTGTTGAAAAAATAAAATCCTGATTAATCGAGGAAACTTTGCTATGGCTCCAGGAAGCATGTGCGCAGCAGGTCTGAAGAGCATGTTGGAGCCACAGCGATTCAGACCCGGAGGTGACTCTGGAAAACCACCAGCTCCAAATTACATCTTAAACACAGTGGGTAAATGAAAACTGTCACTGGGATTTTTTTCCTCTTGACATAAATACAGTATAGATTTGTACATTTTTGTATACAAACAGTACATTTTGTTACAGTTTGGGGGTTTTCATGTTTGAATTTCTCCACATTCTAGAAGTTTTATAAGAGGCATTGGTTAAGTATTTGCCTTAATTGGATGATCTGATCAGCTCACTTCAAGCAAGTCACGATGGCCAGTGATCCAGGTGAAGAAAAAGGAACTTATTGTTAACTCCGGCTTAACCAATTCTGTTAAATCATTACATCAGGCACCTTAGAACATCAATAATAGTGACTGGAGCATTCTGAGTGAGGCCATTAATTCAGTCTTCCTGGGACTGGGTCATAGGACAAAGTAGGCCTCAAGTAAGGTTAAATAGGACACACAATAAACAGGGAGGACAGAAATCATTTCAAAGGATAAGACAGCAGAAGAAACTGGGTCATGAAGGAAGAACCTTTTTCTACAGACTTGGAAACTAGAACTTGTTCAGGCAATTGAGCACTGAAAGAGTACCGTACTCCACACTTAAAGTAAATTAACTTGATGTTTTAGATGTCTCATACTGTCGAATATACAGAATCGTGAATCCACAGGCTAAGAGATGTTATTATTAGAGTAATAGGCTCCCATTTGCTTAGCATCCGATCCAGAAAGATAAAAGTTAGTGTTGTGAAGGACCCTGATTTGACAGAACGCAGGTTCCCTCTTTTCCCTTTTTAAGGTATTTTGTGACTCAATGTTAGGCCGAATTCCATATTATGCAGATTCAAAGATCTTTGTTTGCATAACCCTGATATATTGATATTGATTAATTGATAGTGGATATTGATTTGTACAATCTGTCGTTTCTGTGAGTCCTACAGTACTCACTTTTGACCTAGAGAATTAAAGAATTCTACCCTTACAAACTGAATGCTACAAACACAACACCTTAACAGGTCAAACAGAGAAATTCAGTGTCCTAAGAAAAATGGATCCTACCCAAGACTAAATCTCCAACTCTAAAATACAGATGCCAACAAGTGAATGAAAAACAATTCTCTTACTCTATCAAGGCATTACTGAAACAGGGGAGAATGTTTTTAGTGTCAGGATTTCACTAGAGAGAAAATGTGAATTTCTTAAAATAATCTTAATGATCTCCCTTGGAATGGCACAGTTTTATTCTTTTATATGGTGATCGTAATGATTTACAACAATATTAACTAAATTAACTAATGAGAAAATCGTTAGGAAAACTCTTTTATAATACCACCACGTTTACAAATCTCCCAGCCCAAAAACAACTCAGCAAATACCACCACAAACACAACAGGTTGTGTTAAATTAACAGGTTGTCAGCATGACAAGCTACGTGCCCTTTCAAAATCCAGAAAATCCAATTTATTTTTCTATACTAATGCACTAATGCACACTACAGTCCAAGTTTTTCATAATTAGCATTTTTGTTCATTTTTTCCACGAGTCAGTTTGATACTAATTTTTAAAACATTTAAACCCACTAGACCTGACGGATTCTTTTGTACGTTATTATACAGTATGTGACCATTCATTCCCAACTGAATTCACAATTCCAGGCACCTCAGAAAAACTAATTGTCAAGACTAGTGACGGTGAGGCAGCAATATTAAAATGAATGGACTGGGGAGTGAATCATGAAAGAGGGCTTACACTTCCCCCAAGGTTACTTGCTGAACATAGATCATGCATTGACAGCTGGCTGCACTTCCAACATCAATCTGCAACAGGTTGCTTCTGTTCACTATTTGTCTGGTGACCCAGCAGAGCAACATAAAAATATTGTGGAGACAATAGCTGTGTGTTTGGAACTGGGGGTCCTTGTTTCTCTTCTTCCACAATTCAATAACCACGTAGACAAATTCTGTGGCCCAGTCACAGACTGATGCATCCCTTAATCCCTTATAACTTAATTGTGTGATAAAATAATTTCCTATATGATGTATAATGCACAGGCTGCCTGGTGATGTGCTGGTTAGGGCCATTTCCTTGCAGATCTTCGCTTGGGGCTCAATTCTGGGTTGAGCTGCCATTTGCATTCTCCCATGCTTGAGTGGGGTTTATCTGGGTTTTCTGGCTTCCTTGCACTTACTGTAGATGCTCGGCTACATAAAGAACTGTAGTCTCATAGTTTCTAAAGCTGCAAACCCTGTGCACAGGGGTGTATGTCCTGTGATGGACTGGAATCCCATCCAGGATGTACTGTATCTCTGCCTTTCCTGGCGTATGAGGCTCCACAGGATGGATGCCTAGTACTGTGCATAGCCTTCTGCTCTCACACTTTAAGCCCAGAAAATTCGTTTCTGATAAGAGTCATGTTTGCAAGGAACTATTTGGGAGACTAAATAGTTAGAAGGTGGATTCTACAGAACATACTTACACATAAACACTTTGTGGGGATACAGTAGGCATCCTACAGCTAGAATGCTGTATAGTATAACTGTAAGAATAAATAATAATAATAATAATGGCTTACACTTATATAGGACTTTTCTGGACATTCCACTCAAAGCGCTTTACAGGTAATGGGGACTCCCCTCCACCACCACCCATGTCCTGTACGGAAATTAATCAATTTCCCTACGGGATTAATAAAGTATTATCTATCTATGTGCAGCCCCGACAGGATGATGCGATGGCAGCCATAGTGCTCACCACACATCAGCTATTGGTGGGGAGGAGAGCAGAGTAATGAAGCCAATTCATAGATGGGGATTATTAGGAGGCCATGAT